CACACGTACTTCAAAGTACTTTGGAAGTCCGCGGAAGGTTTCTCCGCTGGCGCTGGGTCCCCTTCGCACGCCAGCGTTAGGAATGGTGAAGCGCGCCAAAGGCGGCGCCGAAGTCGCCGCCTAGCGGTACGGGTGGGTGTGTGTGGCGCCGACAGCGAGGCTGACCACGGACAAACCGAAATTTGTACATTTGTACCCCCAGAGCGTTCGCAAGTGCCGCCAACTCCGACCAGCCCGCTCCAGCGGGGTCCAGGATGTGCGAGAGGCCCCCGATGGCTGTCCGAAAACCTTCGCCCTCCTCCTCGAAGCCCCGTCTGGATGGCCTGGAGCTCCTCCCCGCCCCCAGCGGAGCGCTGGCGGCGGCGGCGGCGTCGTCGTCGTCGTCGCCGCCGCCGTCGTCTTCGCCGTCGTCGTCTTCGCCATCTTCGCCGTCGTCGTCTCCGCCGTCGTCGCCTCCGCCGTCGTCGCCGCCATATTCGTCGCCGTTGTCCCGGCATCGTGGGGCTCATTCGCCGCCGCCACCGTCGCCGTCGTTGCCACCGCCGTCGTCATCGGCGCGCTGGCGGCGCGCCGGCGGGGGCCACCCGTCCTGACCGCGATGCGCTCGGCGGACGCCGCGCGGTGCTCGGGGCGGCCTTCCGCGGCCGCGGCGGCGCGGTCGGAGACCTCCTGCAGCTGCGCGCTGGCCTTTCGCGGCGGCGACGGCGATGGCGACGGCGTCGAGGACGATGGGGGCGACGGTGACGACGAGGACGACGACGACGACGGTGGCGACGACGACGACAATGATGACGATGACGACGACGACAACGACGACGGCGGCTATGACGCCGACGAAGCTGCGTTGGCCTCTCTGGCGGAGGCGGCGGTAGCGACGAGGACGACGATGACGACCGAGGCAAGGCGGCGACGGCGATTCCGACGCAACTGCAAGCTGGCCTCTCTAGCGACGAAAACGGCGAACGCTGCCAGTCTGCTGGTTATAGCGGCATGGGCGTGGGAGGACGTGCGCGTCTGGCACCTTGTGCCAAGCGTTCCTCCTCTGGGTTGAGGATCTCGGGTGCAAGGGAGGTATGTGCCAGAGGTGGATCGGTAGTCCCAGTTCGCCTGGCACGCGGTGTCCTTCCAAAGCGATGGGATCATAAAGATCATTATCCCCATCCCCATCCCCATCCCTATCCCCATCATCATCATCATCATCATCATCATCGTCATCATCATCCTCCTCCTCATCATCAGCATAACCATCATCAACATCATCACCATCACTAGTATCATCAGCATCAGCATCATCCATCACCATCGCTATCAGCATAACCATCACACTCACCATCATCATAATCAGCAGCATCATCATCACCATCAACACCACCATCACCATCGCCATCACCATCGCCATCACCATCACCATCGTCACCACCACCATCATTATCACCATCATCATCACCAACACCACCAAAAACATCATCATGATCATAATGCTAGGGATGCTGCTGCTGATGATGATGGTGCTGATGATGATGATGATGATCACCACCACCACATCACCACCATCTCCACCATCACAACCATCATCATCACCACCTTTAACATCATCGTCATCAACATCCGCATCGACAGCAGCATCATCATCATCACCATCACCATCATCATCATCATCATCATCATCATCATCATCAGCATCATCATCATCAACAATGTATCAATAAAAATACGAGTACTACTATTACTACTACTACTACTACTACTACTACTACTACTACTACTACTACTACTACTACTACTACTACTACTACTACTACTACTACTACTACTACAACTACATCTACTACTACTACTACTACTACGACTACTACTACTACTACTACTACTACAACTACTACTACTACTACTACTACTACTACTAATGCGAATCATACTAACACACACTCATACCATCGATTATACGCATATGAATAATAATACTAAGAACAATAATATCACTAATACTGATACTAACAATGATGCTACCAAGAAGAATACGAATGAAACTAAACAGTCGTAATCATACTTAGAATCATCACCACCATCATCATTATCGTCATCATCATCATCATCATCATCATCATCATCATCGTCATCGGCATTATAATAATCATCATCACCATAGTCATCATAGTCATCATAGTCATCATCATCTTCGTCATTGTTATCGTCACCAGCATCGTCATCGCCATCGCCATCGTCATCGCCATCGCCATCGTCGTCGTCATTGTCATCCTCATTGTCATCCTCATCCTCATCATCATCAACAACAACATCATCCTCATCCTCATCCTCATTCCCATCTTCGTCCGTGGATTTTTTTTGAGCAAGCCGTGCGCGTGCGATACAAGCGCGCCCCCGCTTAGACGGTTGTATGCGGTGCGCTCGCTTTTGCCTCTTGCGCGGATTGCATGGCTAGTCCGCCCCTACTCGGCTTCGACACGCAAGTGCCCCCCGCTGCGGTCATTGAGGGCACGCGCAAGACAGTTTCGAGAAAAGTAGGGACCGCGGCCGTCTCTCAAGCGGGACGACGATGACGCGCGGCAGAAGCCAACGCTGACCGCGCGGCACGATCATGATGCGTCAGCGGAGGTCAACGCGCGCGCATGACCCTCATCTGGACGGCCGGTGCTTGCCAGGTGCTGTCCGGGCAGGTATGCCCCTCCCCCCACGATCGGGGTGGTGCTGGTGCGTGCGACGCTGACTTTCGCCGAGAAGATGCTGCCTGTGGACGAGGCGACAAGGAACGCTCGGCAGCAGCGATGGCGGCGGCCCGGGCTACCAGCGGTACCTCGGGAGCCAGCCCGAGTAGGTAGCGGTCGATCGGGTGGCGCACATGCTCGGGGAGCGGCACGCCGTGGCCAATCGGAAGTCCGATGTGGCGCTCGATGGGCTCGAATCGGCCAAAGACGCGCTGGCCGAGGAGGTGGAGGCATCGACCACCAAGCGGGCGGCGCTGGAGAGCGCCGGGCACGAGGCCCGGGCGGTGGCGAGGCCCCGCTGTGAGAAGCAAGGCAATGCAGAGCTGCAGCGGCAGCTGGCAGCCTGCGAGGTTAACGCGGAGTACTGCAGCAGCCGTGCCAAAAGGCACAGCGGCCGCTGAGGCCGAGACGGCGGGAGGTGCCCCACAGGGCGCCAATGAGGCGATCGGGCTTCTTGCTGTGGCCCAAGATCCACTCGAACTCAACTGACATGCGGGCGAAAGCCTGTGGCTTCTGCGCGGCCTTGTGCCGTACGCGCGAGAGACTCCAGGCGTAACCTCAGCCGAAGAACCTCGACTACCTCAACGGTGCATCGAACAATCCAACCGCGCTGGGCACGGCGGCCAGCGCAAGTGTAAGCCACATACACATCGGCAACACGCCGCGATGTGGGCAGAAACGCCTGTGAGGGCCGACCAGCCAGCCGAACACTTGGTGAGCACTGCGGAAGAGGCTATGCGGTGCGCTGCCACCGAGCTCGCAGCGGCTCGGGGCAAGGGGCAGCTCTTGCGCCGAGCGGCCAGCAAGCAGCAGTACGGTTGGCGCTTGGAGCGAGCCGCGAGGGGACGACTCCAGCTCTTCGGGCTGAGATGCCCCCGCCCCCCTCCACTCAACAGCGGCCTTGGTGGAAACGGGAGTCCGCCTTTTTCATGCTCTCCGCTGACTGCGAGGACGGCTGCTCTGCAACACGCGTGCTGCGCCCATGGCCCCGGCGATACTGTCAGGCTGCGGCCGTCTCACAGGCCGAGGCCGCGGAGAGCGCAACCGTGACGAGCACAGGCCTTGAGGGCAAGCCAGACGGCTCGCTTTGGCACAGGAATCGGCTGTCGCCTCCGTCGCCACCGCCGCCATCACCATCACCATCACCATCACCATCACCATCACCATCTCTATCACCATCACCATCACCATCACCATCACCATCACCATCACCATCATCACCATCATCACCATCACCGTCACCATCATGATCAGCATCGTCATCACCATCACAATCATCATCACCATCGCCATCACCTACCATCATTATCATCACCATCACCATCATCATCACCATCATCATCACCATCACCGTCACCATCAACATTATCATCAGCATCATCATCACAACCATCATCAGCATCAGCATCACCATCATCAACAGCACCATCACAATCATCATCACCATCATCATCAGCAGCATCATAATCATCATCATCATCGTCACCATCACCATCATCATCACCACCAGCATCAGCATCAGCATTAGCATCAGCATAAGCATGATCACCAGCATCAGCATCAGCATCAGCATCATCATCATCATAACCATCACCATCACTATCAGCATCAGCATCAGCATCAGCATCAGCATCATCATCATCATCATCATCATCATCACAACCATCATCATCACCATCATCACCATCACCGTCACCATCATCATCACCACCATCACCATCACCATCACCATCACCATCACCATTACCATCACCATCACCATCACCATCACCATCATCATCATCATCATCATCATCGTCATCATCATCATCATCATCATCAACAATGTATCAATAAAAATACGAGTTATACTACTACTACTACTACTACTACTACTACTACTACTACTACTACTACTACTACTACTACTACTACTACTACTACTACTACTACTACTACGCATATGAATAGTAATACTAAGAACAATAATATCACTAATACTGATACTAACAATGATGCTACCAATAATAATACGAATGAAACTAAACAATCGTAATCATACTTAGAATCATCACCACCAGCATCATCATCATCATCATCATCATCATCATCATCATCATCATCATCATCAGCATCAGCATCAGCATCAGCATCAGCCGCAGCAACAGCAGCAACAGCAACATCATCATCGACGTCGTCGCGAATCGGGCGGGTGGCAATGGGGGTGTGACCTAAGTGGGGGGTGAAGGCATTGGCCCTACAGAGGCCATTTCTTCACTCCGGGTTCAGGCCCCCCCCCCCCCGAGTACCCGCCCGAGTGCAGCACCATCGCCCCGCCGGCCCAGAGCGGCTCTCGACCGGTCCTGGGGGCCCTCCCGGAGCGCCACGCCCGGCGGCGGCCGTGGCGGCGCGGGCCCGTCCCGCTGGCGGCCGAGCGGACGGCCCGCGCCCTCAGACCTGGCTCGGGATCGGGGGGCCCCAGCGCTCTCTTGCGGCAGCGAAGTCCTCCCAGAGAGACTTCTCCTCGACGAGCTCGAGCACGCTGAGGCCGTTCCGCGCGGTCGAAGCTGGGCGGAGCCTCCAGGAAGCCGTGAAATCGCCCTCTGCCTCGGCGCGCAGCAGCACGCCGTCTACAAAATGCCTGCAGTTTCTGCTCAGTGGGCCATACCCTGCTCCGCGAAACTCCTCCCCGAACCCAGTGTATGCTTGGCAGAAGGACGCAGCTGAGAGACGCGATTCCCCAACATACGCAATATCCCCTATCTTGTGCGGGTCGTTGCTCGTGACGACGACGGAATTCACACCGTGGAACGTGGATCCCGTGGGTACTGATGCGGATCCCATGAGGTTCCTACCATGCTCACGTGCGCTTATTTCCATTGTCACCCAATGCGAAGAACTCTCCTTATCCCGAAACAGCATGGCTGCATGGTGGGCGCGCTGGAGGGCGCCCGTAAAACTTATCATTGAACCCACGAGTCCAAACACATTATTTTTATCTCGTGCCACATACACTTCGGAACCCGTGAGCGATAATCCTGCACACGGGCGTTCCCACAATTTTACAAACTGCCACACCTGACCGTCCTCTTCAATTTGCTCACGCAGCACTACGTCAGCACCGACTTTGCAAGAATTTCCGCTCACAGCAAGACAACACCCATTACTGCTTTGTAGAAAGAAGCAACCATTTCTGCTCGGATGCGGTTTTTGCGTCCAGAGCTGTCCTGACTCCTCCGTCGGGGACCATTGAACCACTTTCATGCCACAACCTTTCGCATCGTCAAGCACAGCGAGGCACTTCCCGTGACCATTCAACAATCGGCCTTCGTTGTCGAATCTCCACTGCTGGCCTAGTTCGCGGTTCTTCTCCCATTGTCGAGCACACTTTCCATCCTCGCCGCTGTTACCATCCGTGGTCAAGGCGCGACCAAAGCCGTTCTCCAAATACATTTAGGCCCAACGCAGCACGTAGATCCACGCACCGTGACCACGGCCTGAGGGCAACATGGCTTGAGCACAACGTGCTCAAGTGGGTTGGGATGATGATGATGATGCTTCTGATGCTGATGCTGATGCTGATACTGACACTGATGATGATGATGATGATGATGATGGTGATGATGATGATGATGATGATGATGCCGCTGCTGATGATTATGATGATGAGCATGAGGACAGGAACAAACACAGGAGGGTGCCATTGAGTACAAGACCGACGAGAACGGGGGGGAAAGGGAAGCCCCGAGAAGGGCCATAAAAGGGTTTGAGGACGGCCGCAAGAGCGCACAAGATCGGCCCAAGAGGCGACTCTTCGTGCTCCAGAGGGGCAACGCGAATCGGCGCTGTTTCTTTTCTGTTCGGTGTCCCTTACGATGGCCCACATAGGGCTGGAAAGGTCCCAAGTTGTGGGCAGAGGCTGGTGCATGATACGCAGGACAGCTTTTGCATTATACGCGATGCCCGAGGGCCTCATCCCTCCTCCACCTGCTCCTTTTCCATTTTCTCCTCGGCCTCCTCCTCCTCCTCCTCCTCCTCCTCTTCCTCCTCCTCTCCTCCTCCTCCTCCTCCTCCTCCTCCTCCTCCTCCTCCTCCTCCTCCTCCTCCTCCTCCTCTTGTTTCAACGGCAGGCTCAGCAGTACAGCAGTACCACCCCTGGATCCCCAGATTCGGCTTGCCGGCTGCCTCGCCTCCTTCTTCGGCTGTGTGCTCTTACACTTCTCTGATCAGGGCAAATCTCCTGGCGTTCGTTCCTGGATGGGCTAGCGGGGATGCGCGAAGCGTCGAGAATTTCCCAGACTCGCCGTTGTACTGGTTCTTCGCTCTTTCTACCGCAGCGCATCGTCTGAGCGTGCCAGAGCATTCCACACCAATGCACAGCAGACATGCTATAATGACGCCCGACTCGATTTCCTTGTCGCGCTCGTGGGTCCGTCAAACTCTTGCCGCGGGTCTGTTTCCGCAGGCCCCCTCCTCCTCCCCCTCCTCCTCCTCCCTCCTCCTCCCCTTCCTCCCCCTCCTCCTCTCCCTCCTCCCTCTCCTGCACAATTACTCAATATGAATACTACTCTCCTCCTTCCCCTGATGAGGGGTTGGGAGTGTTCGCCCCCCCCCCCTCCCCCCCTGCGTACTGTTTTTTTACACACAGGATTCCCAGGAATTGGGTTTCCGCCTGCATTTTTTTTCAAAATGCTGCTCTCGCTGAGGCGCCGGCGTCATTTTCGGGCCCCGCTCGTTCCGAATCGTGCTCCCGCTGCAGCGCTGGCCTCATTTCCGTGCTTCTGCTCGTTCCGAATCGTGCTCCCGCTGCAGCGCTGGCCTCATTTCCGCGCTTCCGCTCGTTCCGAATCGTGCTCCCGCTGCAGCGCTGGCGTCATTTCCCGTGCCATGCTCCGGCATGCAATGCAGTGCTAGGTTGCGTTCCGCTGCGCGATGCCATGCTACGCTTTGATCTTCAACGCCATGCTATGCAATGTTCTGTTCGGGGCCGCTGTGCGATGCCATGCTTTGCGTTGCAAAGCTTTGTGATGCAATTCTTCAATACGCCACGCCACGCCATGCTGTGACATACTACGCTTTGCGGTGCTCTTCTACGCCATGCCATGCCTTGCTCTACAATGCATCGCGTCCCCTTTCGGGATCATTGCCCTGCTCGACATCCGACTGTGCGAGTAGAGAGGGGATCTACGCCATGGTAAGGGATGGGAGGGAGGGGTAGGATGTCAGATATGACGCGAACGCACCTAGCTTGCCCCCTCCCCTCCCCTCCTCCTCCTCCTCCTCCTCCTCCTCCTCCTCCTCCTCCTCCTCCTCCTCCTCCTCCTCCTCCTCCTCCTCCTCCTCCTCCCCCCCCTGAAAGTCGAGGTCGTGAACACAGAACAAGCAGCATCCACATGCCAATCAGCTTTCGGACGCCCCCGCGGATTTTTCTCTGCACCGGTGCCAGACCCCTCTCCCCTGGCGCGGGGCGCGCGCCAAGGGGTGGAGCCAGAAAAGGCCGCGAAGGGGTCCAGCGCCGACCCAAGCAAGCCAGAATTTTCGGACGCCACCGGGAATGGGTCTACCAACTCTTTTCGCCCTTCTGAACTGACGCCCGTTTGCTGCGCCTGTCTTGCTTTTCCGCTTTCCGCTTTTCCGCTGCCTGGTCGTGGCCCGGCTAGAGTCTGGGCAAGCCGGAAGAGCGGGAGAAAACGCCCGCCAGGGTTCTGTCTCCGAAGCCCTGGGCACGCCAATGTTGGTCCGGCTTTTGCTTCCGCCGCGATCCGCCGTGCCTCTGTCGGCGGAGACGTCAATGGTCTGCTTCGTTCAGCTTCCGCCGAGGGCAGGGGGCGAGGCCCTCGACCCACTGGCTGTTTGGGGATCCCCGCGCTCAAGGCTTCCAAGCTTGTTCAAGAATGCCGCGCTTCGCCCCAGTAGGAGACGGCTGCGGCCACGCGATACGAAGCGATACTTACTGGAAGGAAAAGCGGCATGAACCTCAACTTGCGGAGGTCCGCGCGGATTTCTTGGATCTGCTCTGAACCCTCCCCTGGCGCGCGGAGCGCGGCAGGGGCGGCACCGGAGGCGCCGCCAAGGGGTCCCGTCGCAGATCCAAGAAATTTGCGAGGAGCTCCCAAACTTTATCTGTATGCAACTTTTTCCTCTTCGAATGCTGGAAACGAGCAAGCGGAAGCAGGAGAGGACATGTGCGGACAAACGGCAAGGCCCTTATCCTCCAGGCGGCCCACCGCGTCCAAGCCACTCGGGAGCTCTGGGGTGGCCCATCCGTTTGGGCCCCACGTCGATCTCCCGACGCCTCCCTGGCAGATTCCTGGGCATCTTTTTCGAGCACAGGGGGACAAATAATGACATAAACATAAAACTCGGGGGTCCGCGCGGATTCCTCGGATCGGCGCTGGGCCCTGTGGCGGCACAAGCGCCGATCCTTGGAATCCGCGCGGACCTCCGAGTTTACATGTTAATATCATTGTTTGTTCCTCTAGAGCAGAATCCAGCCGCACCCACGAGGGCCACCCCATGATGCCAATCGGAAAGTTCCCTTCCAACGCTTTCACTGTAGCCTGCATCGAGTGCGCAATACTAAATAATCACGGTCAAGAGCTTATGTTCGGCGTGTCGCAGTGGCGGCCCCAGCGACACGCTATGCCTTGCCTTGCCATCGGATCGCGGGTCTCTCTGCCTCGCGAGACGGGAGGCTGGGAAAAGCTCGGTTGACAATCGGACATGGGGCAGTGGCTGGCGTGTCGCGCCGAAGGCCGATGGGATGGAGCAGGAGGTGAATGGATGGAGCCGGAGGAGAATCGGGAGGATGAGGAGAAGGCGCAGGAGGTGAATGGATGGAGCAGGAGGAGAACGGAGCAGGAGGTGAATGGAGGAGCATCACGGCTGGTGGGATGGAGCAGGAGGAGGATCGCCGCCCTCAGCCCCGACATGCCAGCGCGGAGGCGAACGGCGCGCCCGAGTGGGCCGCCGAGGGCCGCCGCGGAGAGTGCCGCCGAGTGCCGCCGAGCGCGTGCCTCCCGCTGGGCGCGCCAGGCTTCCAGCGCCGCGCGCGCGTGCGAACCCGCGGCGCGCCGCTCGGCCGCCTCGCGGGCGCCGAGCTCCAGGCGGCGCGCGCGCTGGAGCTCCTCCTGCGGGGGGGGCGTGCGGGCGGCTCGGGGGGCGCCGGGCGACCGCCTCCCCGATCCTGGCCGCCCAAGGTTTGGACGCCCGAAATGGGTACGGAAGGAATGGGCACAATGCCCAACAGCAGTTCCTGTTCATTTTGAACAGGATTCGCTGTCCACGCCGCCGCGGCCTGTGTTCATTCGAGACAGAAGGCCGCCTGCCCAACAGCGGCCGCTGTTGGTTTGGGACAACATTTGTTGTTGGGCATTGTACCCATTTTTTCCGCACCCATTTCGGGCGTCCAAACAAGGGGAGCGTCCTGGCAGCTGCCCCCTCGGGCCGCCCTGGGGAAGCGTCCCGGCAAATGCCCTCTCGGGCCCATCCCGGAGCGGCGTGTGCGTGCCTCCCTGGCCGGGCGAGGGAGGGGGGGCGTGCGCCGAGCCGTGGCCCAGGATCGGCCCGGCCGGCGCCGGCAGGGCGGCCAGTCGGCGATCCCCCGAGCAGCGGCCTCTCGGGGGCGGCCCTGGGCGGCCTCCCGAGGCCTTCGGGGGAGGCCCCTCGGCGGCCTTCGGAGGCCATCGGCAGCCTTCGGCGGGCTCCGGAGAGGCCAGCGGCGGCGGCCTTCGGCGGCGCCACAGGATGAGGAGGAGGGAAGGGGGAGGAGGAGGAGCAGGAGCAAAAGGAGGAGAAAAGAGGAGGGGCACTCCGCTAAAAAAGACGAGAACAGGGCAGGCGGACAAGAAAACGAGAAGAGGGTAAAAAATCCAGGTCCCCACGGGCGCCGTCACCCAGTCGGGATATCGATCAACATCAAATCCAAGAACAACCTAATATATTCGCAAGCAGGCAAAACGGCGAAGTGCCCAGAACAGGCTTCCACGGACACTTCCAAACATCCCGAACACCTGGGCCTACTCCCTTACTTCCCCGGGCGAGGAGGAGGAGGAGGAGGAGAAACAGGAGGAGGAGAAGAAACAGGAAGAGGAGGAGGAGGAGGACCAGTGTAAACCCAAGGCCCATCAACGATGTTGAAATACACCCTCCCTCCAGGCTCCCTCTTCATACTCAATGGAGACAACTGCCTGAAACGTGCTGAAACACAACTCGCGGTACTTCAACGCCACGAGTCGACCTGACCTTTGCGTTTTGACGGTCCTGAATCGTGACAGAACGCCGTTTCTGGGACTGCACCACCGCGAATTAACGTAACTGTTGCGTCCTGACAATCCTGACGCGCTCCCAAACCCAATTTCTGGTACGCTAGCCATGAGAATCAATGAAGCTCTTGCAAATTTTAAAACGAATGTGCGCGGCCCTAAGGCGCGGACCACATTATGAAAAGGAGCCGCCCTCAATCCGTGAAGCTCAGGCAATAAAAAGAACCGGTGTGCGGCGCTGACTCGAGAGCTAAATTTTGAAAACAGCCCGCCTTCAATCCGTAAAACTCGTGCAAGTTTAAAAGCGAATGTGCGCGTCGCTATGGCGAGAACCGCATTTTGAAGACCATCCGCCCTCAATCCGTGAACCACTTGCAGATCTTTAAAAAGAATGTGCGCGGCGCTAATGCGAAAACCGCATTTTGAAAACCACCTGCTCTCACTCCGTGCGACTCTTGCAAATGTTAAAAGCAAATGTGCGCGGCGCTACGGCGAGAGCAACATGCTGAAAGCCACCCGCCCTCCATCTGTGAAGCTGTTGTCAATCGTTTTAGCATCAGGGGCATAAATGGTGAGGAAGTCTCAGGCGAAACGCCCGGTCCGCCCTTTTGACTAGCCTCGGGGTGCGACAGAGAGGAGTTATCTATAAGGAAAAGGAATGGAGGAGGATAACTCTTTTTTCAACATTCAACGCCCCTTTTTTCTGCACTTGCTTGCACTCGTACTGAAACCATATCTCCTAAGTCGCTTGCCTCTCTTTTACGTTTAGTTTACCCTTCTAACGCTACGATCTCAATTTAATTTTGTCCAACGCAAAACAGAGGAGGCAGGAAGAGGATGACTTCCCGAGAATATCTACAATATTGTCCATGGTCTTGTGGGCCTGGGGGAATTCGGGAGCTGGGCAGAACAAGCTCCCCTGCCAAGAAGTGAGGGCACGGCCCGAAGAGACCCTCTTGGCCGCTGCTGGCTGACGGGGGCGCGTCGAGCATTGCCGATGACGTGTCGGCTGCCAGCGGGGCTGCGCCGCTACGCAGCGAGCGGCGGCACGAGGTGATTCATCAATCCATTGATCAGCTCAGCTGGCAGCGTAACTCTAGGCATCAAGAGAGTAGACACCACCTCCTCCTCCCCTTCCGACGGAACCCCAGGAGGCTGAAAAGCGCTCTTCCTTCTGTTCGCCTCCCTCCTCCTACTCCTCCTGCTCTCTCCCCCCCTTCTCCTCCGGTCTCGTCCTTCTCCCGCGCTCACCTTCCTCCTCCTCCTCCTCCTCCTCTTCCTCCTCCTACTCCTCACTCTTCCCCCTGCCCTTCTTCCTCCTCCTCCTGCTTCCAACCCCTACTGCTCCGCCCCCCTCCCCTCCCTCCGCCCCGCTCGTCCTCCCACCCCCAACCTTCCTACCGTCGACCTCTCCTCCTTCCTGCCTCCCTCCCAATCCTGCCCACTTCTCTTTTCTCCTCCTTCATTGCTCTGTACGGTTCTGGACTTTCATTCCTTTCTTTTTTGTGGATCTCCCAAATGTTAGGGAATGCAGCCGCTAACGGCAAACAAATTCTTCCCCAACTCCACCTCCTCCTACGCCTCCTCGTCCTCCTCCTCTTCCTTCTGCTCCTCCTCCTCTCCCTCCTCCTTCGGTGCATCGACGACGCCATTGACGACGACCTCGACGACTGGCGGCGGCGGCGGCGGTAACGACTGGGGGGCTCGGCGGCCGCCTGCGCCCGCGCCGCCTCCTCCCTCGCCGCGCGCCAGGCGGCCACGCGGACACGCCGCTGCTCCTTGGTCCGTCGTCGCCGTCGCCGTCGCCGCAGCCGCCGCCGCCGCCGCTGCCGCCGCCGCTGCCGCCACCGTCGTCGTCGTCGTCGTCGTCGTCGTCGTCGTCGTCGTCGTCTTCTTCTTCTTCTTCGCCGCCGCCGCCGCCGCCGCCGCCGTCGTCGTCGTCGTCGTCGTCGTCGTCGTCGTCGTCGTCGTCGTCGTCGTCGTCGTCGTCGTCGTCGTCGTCGTCGTCGTCTTCTTCGCCGCCGCCGCCGCCGCCGCCGCCGCCGCCGCCGTCGTCGTCGTCGTCGTCGTCGTCGTCGTCGTCGTCGTCGTCGTCGTCGTCGTCGTCGTCGTCGTCGTCGTCGTCGTCGTCGTCGCGATCGTCCTCGTGGTCGTCGTGGGCGCGGTCGTGGTCGTCGTCGTCTCAACCGCCGTCGTCCTCGTGGTCGTCGTGGGCGCGGTCGTGGTCGTGGTCGTGGTCGTGGTCGTGGTCGTCGTCAACGCTGTGGCCGTGGTTACGGTCGTCGCTGTGGTTGTCGTCGCGGTCGTCGCCGTGGTCGTGGTCGGCGTGGCTTTGTCGAGGTCGTCTTTCTCATACTAGTGGCGGTGGTGGTACTAGTCGTGGTCATGATCGTCGTGATCAGTGGTGATCGTCGTCGGAGGGGGATGGATATCGTGGAGGGGACGGAGGATGTGGGGGAGGGCGAGGATGGGAGGATACATAAGTTGACGAAGGGGAAGAGAAGAACGAAGACATAGCAGAGGGGAAGGGGGAGGAGGAGGACGATGACGAGGAGGCCAACAACGAACATTTCTTCCTATACATCTCATCTTCTCCTTGCCCTCCATCTCCACCTCCTCTCGTCCTCCTGCGTACCGTCCTCCCTTCTCTCCTCCGCCTTCCTCCGTCTTCCTCCTTCTCATCCCTCTCCTCCTCCTCCTCCTCCTCCTCCTCCTCCTCCTCCTTCTTTTCTGCCAATCCCCCTGCTCCCACCTGTCCTCGTCATCCCTCTTCTGGGGAAGCACAGAAATATCGATACCGCTACTCCGGACTTCTCCCGGGGGTGCGTTCTGACCAGAATTTCGGGGCGAATCCAGCGGTGGCGACGAGGGCATCCCAGGCGGGCCAAACAGGCGAGAACGAGGCAAGGGTATCGGCAAGGGGTACCTTTTGCCCCTCTGACATTCTCCTCCCTCCCCTCTCTCTTTCCCTCTTCCACCTGTTCCCCCTCCTCTCCCTCCTCGCGAGGCGGCGTTACGGCGCCCTGCGCCACCTGGCACTCGAGGACAGACAGCGAGCGGCCCGAGGGGCCCCGCCCCGCCAGAGAGAGGGAGAGAGAGAACCACGCCGCAGTCCACCGACGGTGCACGGAGGGCCCCCTCGCCCCCCAGACCTCCTCCTCCTCCTCCTCCTCGTCCTCCTGCTCGTCCTCCTCCCTCCTCCTCCTCCTCCTCCTCCTCCTCCTCCTCCTCCTCCATCCTCCTCCTCTCTCCTCCTCCTGCTCCTCCTCCTCCTCCTCTCCTCCTCCTCCTCCTCCTCCTCCTCCTCGGTCCTCTCCTCCCCTTCCTCCTCCTCCGTCCATCCTCCTTCCCTTCTCCTTCTCCCCTCCTTCTTTTGCTCCTCTTCTCCTCCTCCTCCTCCTCCCCTCCTCCTCCTCCTCCTCCCTCCCTCCCTCCCTCCCTCCCTCACCTCCCTCCCTCCTCCCCCTCCTCCTCCCCCTCCCTCCCTCCCCTTCCTCCGTCCCCCCCTCCATCCCCCCTTCTTCATCCTCCCTGCTCCCGAGCCGACTCAAGTCAACAAAAAAGCATCCCCCCTCCTTCCTCTCTCATCCCTCCTGCTTCCTCCTCTTCTCCCTCCTCCCTCCCCCCCCCCCTCCTCCTCCTCTTCTTCCTCCTCCTCCTCCTCCTCCTCCTCCCTCCTCCTCCTCCTCCCTCCCAAACCTCCGACGATCTGCTTCTGCCTCCCGGCGTTCTCTTCGACCTCTTCCGGTGGGACCCGCTGTCGGGCCCCAGGGCCATCACGCGTGGATTGGGGCCGCAAGGCTGCCCCCGGAGAAGGAGGAGGGGGAGGAGGAGGAGGAGGAGGAGGAGGAGGAGGAGGAGGAAGAAGAGAGGGGGGATGATGATGATGATGATGATGATGATGATGATGATGATGATGATGATGATGATGATGATGATGATGATGAGGAGAGAGGAGGAGAGAGGAGGAGGAGGAGGAGGAGAGAGGAGGAGAGGAGGGAGGAGGAGGAGGAGGAGGGAGGAGGGGGGGG